TAGTGTAACTTTTTCGATTACTTTCAAAAAGTAATGTAACTAATTACTTTTGATTACTTTTTGAAAGTAATCGAAAAAGTTACACTACAATTACATTTTAAACAAGGTAACTTGTAACTGTAACGGATTACACTTTTAAAGTAACTTACCCAACACTGCCAACGGTATTCAGAGGATTCTCCCAGAGCGCACAGATTTGATCACGGAAAGCTGTGGCATCTTCAGAGGAGTTCAGGCACACAAAAAACAGTGCTGATAATATTCATGGAGCTATAATACTCAGACGGCACAGGAATAAGCCTGACACTAATTTACAGATCCATTTCTAACTCTATTTAAAAAAAAAAACGAAACGATTTCAAACCACTCTCACAATGAAAACTTGGGTGTGCACGTGCTTCTGCAAGAGCATTTCGGAGGAATTTGTTTCTCAAATGGGAGTCTTGATTAAGTTAGAAGATTTTTATAGTGACATTTTATCTACAACCATCGTGCAGGTATACAGTAAAAAGTTTAAACAAATGAATATCCCAAATGTTTTCAAATGATTCATATCAAATACGCGTCACAAAAATTGAGTTTATCAAAGTTTTCAGAGCCTTGGCTCAATTTGTCTTTGGCCAAATAAGTACTTTTGTCAGAGGGCTTCTGAATCCAGGTCGCAGCTAGTACAAAGCTAACTGTCAAGCACCTTTAAGAACAAGAACTCATTTAGTCCCGCAGGAGAACAAGCATCAGTAACGGATATTACTGGATATTTAAGGCAATGCAAGTTCACAGAATATGACAAAAACAAAACAGATAAAAGACCATGAATGAATGTTGCAAAGTGTAGCGTAAAAAAATGTTTTTTCCACAAACAAGAACTACCTGAAAACCATAATCACAGTGTTTAGAACTATCTCCACCTTCTCTCCAGATTCATTCTGTAAAAAGAAGATAAGTAAAAGAATTACAGATGGCCCATGTTTAGGAAATACAAAATTAAAGGGATACCTAATATCTGTTGCTGACGGCAACCAAACTGACTAAAACTGCTGTGAAATAATAAAAAAATAAGCAGCTGCAGCTCAGGGAATATCCAAATGGGATGCTGAATTAGGGCACATTTAAAAGGGAATAATTAAACTCAGTTTCTGTACTTAGGCACACACAAAGCGCACAGGTTTGAAGCTGCAGATCCAAATAAATTTAAGTGGATAAATGCTGACAAATGTTTCTAGGATGGGAGCGAAAATGATCTATAAATGTAAATAAAAGTCAATGACATCAATAACAAAAAAATATCCACAAACAGAAGTGGAGCTACGTGGAAAGTGAATAAAAATACCTCATTCGTCATAATTTCTGAGGCTGTATTAGATCACGAGAAAATCCTTTTCAGGGCTAATATCCACATTAAAAAAAGCAAAAGACAGAGAGCCCCTTTGTCCCTTTATGATGGGGTCAGGGCACTGTGACCCCCCCCCTGTTACTGAAGAGCCGGTAGCCCTTCTGTAGAAATCCTTCAGCATGTTTATGCTCAGTGTGTTTATCACAAACATCTTCAGTCACGAACCATCAGCCACAGCCGAGCCAGGAATTTCAGGAATTACATTTCTGTCCCATTTACTATGCTTTTGTTCACGCTGACTGTCTTAATACCTTGGCATGTGATCAGCTCCAATCGGATAAGGTCCGATCTGGCTTGTGGTACTGGAAAAGGATGTCTCACTACATTGTCTCCCAGCATTCTCCCTTTCAGGAGTCTCTAACATCCTTTCTGCTAATGATTTGTATTCAAAATGTACCAGATCAAGAACATCCGGCGCAGAAATTTCAGATTATAACCATAGATCAAGAGAAGTAAAGTTGAACTGTACCGTTATTTCATATTAAGGTTTCAAACAGACACACACATTAGCTTAAAAAGGTTTCCACTGTACAGTCACGTATGTGTTACAATAAGGCTTTGGACTTATTTTGATCTTGGCTTCAATGTTTCAGTCATTGGAGACCATTCCATTCATTTGTGTGTAGTGTATATTACAGTGGAGACATGTAATACACACTTGTTGTGTATCGGTGTGTTGATATGACACATTAGGCAGGGCAAAGTGCTTGAAACAGTTCGATTGTTAATGGCACAGTCATATTTGCAGAAGTAATTTAGATATCAGAGCTACTATACATGAACAAACACCATCACTGTCACTATCTTTAATCTTGGGTCCCCACAAGATGAGGAAAAACCTGTGAATGGTTTACATCCTCATCCGAATACTGTTCGGCTGTTAGAGATCCTTTTGGATTAGAGTCATCCCCACCTCCTCCAAACACTGTCTTATGTATACAGGGGATAGGAAAACAGTTCTACGTAACCAGAACAACATTTCTAAAGCGTATTTTGTTTCAAGATACATTGAGACACTTCACTCTTGCGAGCGATTACATTCATAGAACCCGGTTGGGGTCCACAACACAGTTAAGGAAACGTCATTTAAGACTACTTTACCTCACATGGTTCTTATCTATATGCCAGCTATTGTTTATTGTCCTTATGTCTATGTCGTTTCTGTGTAAATAACAGCTCTTTTTTAGAGAATGAACCATAAGATCATCAGTGTAATGAAGTCAATCCCTTGGTTTTTAATCCGGCGCTCTGATTCTTAAACCCTCTACAAACTGTTCAGGAAACAGGTAGTTTATCCATTTCACATTTTGACAATTTATTGGCAAGCTCTTTGTCACACAACCCTGGAAAGCCACAATCTGTGAGTCGCAGGTAGTTAGGACAGGGATCAAGTCAGTGCTTGATAGTTACAGATCTGAAATCTGGATCTGCACAACTACCGTCCACGCAGAAGGCTGACAATAACAGCTTTATCAGTTTTTTGAAGACAGATCAGGATTCCCTAAAATAAACTTCAGGGTTTTCTTCAGATCCCCACAAGGAACCTCCCACAAAGAAACCATTCCTATCTCGTTCGTCTGGGTACTGTGTGTCATCCCAAACCTAAATTCTCTTCCGTTCAACCCCCCCATCCTCGTCTTCCTCCCCCCCGCCCCAAGCCAGCCTCCTCGTTGGGGGACGGGAGGGCTCGTGCCGCTAGAGGGCTGTAATCTGAGTCAATTCTGTATTGGAGTTCCCTGTTCCGTGGGCCTCTCCCATCGGCGGGGGGTCCACCCCCACCAGCGGGAGGTTCACGCCTAGTCATGCCGGGTCAGGCGTCCCCCCTCCGAGGCCCCCGTCGTCCCCGGCCTTGCAGCTGTAGGCGGCCGCCACCTCCCTGGCGATGCTCCTCATCCTCCCCCACTGCTGGGTGTCCAGGCCGAAGGGCGAGGGGTTGCAGAACTCGCGGAAGCAGCGCTTGAAGTTCTCGTCCAGGAAGGCGTAGAGCACCGGGTTCAGGCTGCTGTTGACGTAGCCCAGCGCGATGAAGAAGTGCATCATCACCAGCGTGGACAGGCTGCTCAGGTTGAAGCCCAGCGACTGGGCCAGGACCATGATCTGGATGGGGGTCCAGCAGACCACGAAGGCGGCCACCACCACCAGGACCATGCGGGTGATGCGCCGCAGGTTGCGGTCCTTCTCCTTGGAGCCGGACAGGATGCGCACGTTGCGCAGGCGCTTGACCATCAGGCTGTAGCAGACGCTGATGATGGCCACGGGGATGAGGAAGGAGAAGAGGAAGACGCAGGTGCCGAAAACCGGCTCCCAGTGGCCCTTCGGATCGGGTAGAGCCACAATGCACTCCACACCTGCAGGCGAGGGGAATAAAAATACACGGAACAAGGTTTATTCCACACTTCAGAAACCAAAGCGGATCCTTCAAAAAATTCAATATATAGCAGTTGTTAGTCTAGGTTGTCACCATATTGAAAAAAATCTGTAGAGACAAGAGACTTTGGCACTGAAATAGCTTCTTGATAATCGATTCTGACAGAGACCCTCAGGATGACAAGCCTCAGACCCTTTTCTAGGAAAAGAAACAATATAATCCAACCATTTGAAAAATTGGAGAAGACATGATGAAAGGACTAATACAAAACTTTGATTCTCCACAAAGTCCAAAACCTACAAACCAGGACAAAATGCCGGTAGACAGAAGGACCAATCCACCATTTTAAAAAGAGAATCTCTGAACTTTTCCTAAACCACAACCCTTTTCTCCCTTCATGTGACGCTATCAGCCCCGTTTCTACCCGCCTGTGATCAGTGGCTGTAATGGAGTTGGGGGGGGGGGCACAGCTTCCAAATTGACTGGGGACACCCCCACACTCACCTCACACAAAATAAATCCCGGGCACTCGTGGCCTGGTGAGGAGAACTGTATGAAAACACCCCCCCCACGCAGAATAATCCATCAGTCCTTTCTTTGTAATACAATCATTTCACTCTTTGTTGGATGTAGCTTCAGCCCAGCTCTTTATACGGCGTATTTTGAAATATGTGGCATGACATGTGTGGTACAGGTTTTGTATTTATCCACAAATGCAAATGATAGATTCTGTTTCTTAAAAGCTGGAGCCTACACACCATAGCTACAAAACCTACTTTTGGCTGTGAAAAGGTACAATACAGCCAGGATATTCTAATCTGATATTTCATTCATTTTGAAATGGAGATAGACATTTCTTTCTTTTTTATCTATTCTGGTAAAAAAACAAAAAAAACAAGTGACATTAAAATACTGTATATCCCACATGGTTATCAATAACAGGCAATAGGTATAAACATTAATCAGTCTTGATGAGACTAGAATAAATAACAGAATAAAGATGTCGTTGTCCTGTCTGAGCTTAGCATGAGCTGATTTAATGGAGTTTAACAAAATTTGGATGTAAGTTTTGGTACGTAGTTTCATCAAATTCTTTAATATCTCTGCTTCCTCTTTAAATGATAAAGTTTAAACTTATGTGTGTTGTGTCTAAATATCCTTTTTGGGCTGTATTTTGCAGCTAAATCCTATTTTTCCAATCGGTTTATTCACTTTGTTCTGTTTGTAATATCTTAAATGGTTTTATTCTTGCTAACTTGCTCTGGGAATATTTTCCGCCATTTCTATTAAAGCCTGTGAGACCACCATCACTTGGGTTCCTGTTTTTAGGTCTCACCCTAAAGAAAACCTGAACGATGACAGAGGAGACATACATAATTCTAATATTTAGCTTAAATTAGTATTTTAGAAATGCTTATTTGGAAAATTGAATGTGGAAAACAGCACAAATTGCACAACGTCATATTTCTTGGAAAACAATGGGAATGTGTCCGCTCACTTAAATTTAAGGTTAATGTCTAAAGAGTGAACAGCAATACATTTTGATGCAGATATTGTGTTATCGAACAGAATATCTTATTTCAACTTTACACATCCATGGAACTCTTCATTAGGTCTATGTTTAGTTAAACAACTGTACAATATAACATAAGCAATATGAAAAAGACCAAACTTATGGGGCTATTTTGCTATATTTTAGACTATTTTATTACTTGATTTTATTAAAAAAAACTGGATGTTTGCCACTAAAGTCCAAAAAGATTCCGGTTCCTGTGGAGATGTGTTCTTTTGCTGTTCTTTAACGTGTCTTCACTCCTGTTTGAGACTTGTTTTTGCTGCATTCAGACATCAGTCACAGAATTAGCAGATTTCCAGTTTTTCGGTGGCTGTGAAACGAAAGCGTCCACATTTAAAGCCTCTGAGGTATGTGGTCATCTAAAGGGAAAATCAGACGGATCACAACCACAAAGCACATAAATGATGACACATTTATACTAACACCAGCCCAAAAAAAAAAAAAAAAAAAAAAGCTATTATTAAATCAAATCTCCGGAGAGATGCTGTATACTCATAAATGGCCAATTTTGCCAATACTGCCTGTTGAGTTAATGTGCGCCCACCCCCGGATAAAAACAAGCAAACAGACATATCGTTCTTAATTTACAGCTTTCAGCGAGGCTGCACGCTGAACCAGAAAAGGTCACGCTACAATCACTCAGGAGCTGTTAGCATCAATCACTTAACGGCTGTTTCATAACTATTCCTATTTCAAAATGTCAGTGGATGACTTTCACTTCCCTTTAAAAAAAAAAAAACACAAAAAAACTGTGGTTATATCTTAAAAAAATGAATGAATTTCTGTTCACAATCAATAAATATGGATCTAAATCTTCTTGTATTTTTTCATTGCCAACGTTACTGATCAGGTCAACAGAAATTTACTCATTTATCCCATTTTGGAAACATTAAAATGTCTCCATGTGCAGTGGTGCTTAAGTAATTGTACTTAAGTACAATTTCCGTGTATCTGTACTTTACTTAAGTAGATTTAATAATGGATACTTTCTACTTTTACTCCACTACATTTAACAGTAAGTATCTGTACTTTCTACTTCACTACATTTCTATACAGCGTTTCGTTATCCAAGACGCATTTCGGTTTTTTGATTTGTTCGTTAGTTTGAAAGTATCCAATGGCGAAAGCAGAATCAGTCCGCTGAACCAATCCAAAATCGGGAAATAACCATTAGGCCCTCCCTCAAGAAGAGCAGCACAGTACC